GAAGGCAGGCAGTGTGATGGATGCTTCTCCAGGGGAGGGGCAGGCACTTGGACAAGGAGTCCCTGGCATCTTTTCTGACACTACAGGGTCCACGCTTCTCAAGCTGAAAGGCAAGGAAGAAGACAGCACTGTCCTCCAGCAAGCCAACTGCCCTGACTTACTGCAGCGGAGTCATGGCGCGCCATCAAGCAGACAATCGGCAGTCATTCGAGCAGCAGCAGCAGACTTGCTGGAGCCTCAGGGCACCCGGGACGAGGGGGAAGCAGCCCTGCAAAACCTCTGGGGACAGCACACAGGTCGAGGGTCCCTACACGAAATATATGTGGTTTTAAAAGTGAAAGGCACTATTTGCCCTTTATTTTCTAAGTGTGGGGCAAATATTGGAAAAAATACAGACAAAACCTCATTTACTTCAAATTCCAGGAGTCGAAAGCTGAATAAAAAGCAGCAGGCTCCCCATTAAAGAAGCAGATGACGGTTTTCCGTTTGGACTGTGGACTGACAGTACAAGTCCTTTGCTGGAGGGCCCCACCCCCGCCCAGGTCTGTGAGGCCAGGGCTGCTTAGGACGGCTGCCATTCATCTCTACAGGACACATGGCGCCAGCGAGGGCTGGGTCTGGCGAGAAGGGACCACCCTTTCCAAGACCAGTGACTCAACCTCCCTGCCCCGCCCATCCAGAGAACAGGCGATGGTGAAATCTAGGGCCCGGGGCTGCTGCACAGAGCCAGCCTAGACAAGTGGCCAGGGCAGCAGTCTGTGTACAGACACCAAGAACACTGCCATAAACCAGGCGAGTAAACACTGAGTCTAGGGCTGCTTGTCACACTCTGCGCTAGCAAGCTGTGGCCAGGAGTGGCGGTTAGAACATTAACAGCCGGACACAGACCAATCAAAATGGAGTACCTGTCTTGAACAGGGGCACCGTGGTGGTACAGTGGGTCCACAGTTTGAAACCACCAGCAGCTCTGAGGGAGAAAGACCGAGCTTTCTACCCCAGTAAAGACTTAGTCTTGGAAACCCACAGGAGGGTGTTATGAGTCAGCACTGATTCAATGGCAGTGACTTTGATTTTGGACTTTTTGTCTTAAACAGTGGGGAAGACCATGTCAGACTAATGTGCACCAGTCGAAGATCATCTGTACCCCGTGGTGGCCGACCATGCCACATCCCAGCCTCTCAGGACCATCACAGGTAGCCCAAGCCAGGTGAATACCTGGCAAATACATCAGCGCTGCCAGTCTTGACCTTCATTGTGAACTGAACACCACCACCCCACCCCCGCCCGCCATCCAAAACAATTTCCACTGAGCTGATTGTGCCTCATCGTGTAACTCAGGACAGCAAAGAACCGCCCTGTGGGCTTTTTAGCCTTACAGGAGTAGAAAGCCTCATCTTTCTCCTGAGGAGCTGCTGGCTGCTGGTTCTGAACTGCTGACCTTGCGGTTAATAGCTCAACATGAAACCGTATGCAACCAGAGCGCCATCTGTGGAGTGACATACAATGTGAATGTCATAAGGCTAGAGACCACATGGGCACAAATAACCCTGTGCCCATTGTCTTGGTGCAGTTTAGGGAAAAGTATTCAAGGTGTTTTCATGAAACAAAGACTTTTTTATAGCACCTCACTGCTCTATGCACGATCTCATGTAACCTTATACCAGCGCTAGGAGGGTAAGTATTATTAACTGGATGCCTTGAGTAGATGCCAACCTTGGGGAGCCCATGTGTCAGAATGCAGCTGTGCTCCTGAGGTAGTTTATTGTGCCAACCTGGCCGATAAACACATGTGGGGTTAACTAAAGGGCTGATGGTCGCACCAGGGTGCAGCTGCCTTAGCAGTTCCCTGCTTCAGCTGGCAATGCTGACTTCCTGCAAGACATCCCCAAGGAGAAGTCACATGGCCCTACCCTGATGCAGCCCTGGGTGCTGGAGCACCCATGTGGAGACCCCTGCCAGCGCTGAGATGCTTACACATAAACTGATTCAGCTTTCCTCCTGTAGTCAGCATCATAGTATGTGTTTTGTGAGATGGAGGAGGACTTTGTGGATTGGTGTTGGAGGTGGGAAAGAAAGGTTTCTCCCAAATCGTCCCACCCAAATATGTTAGACTTAGGACACTGCTTTTAGCTAATGATAAATGATTGTCAAGTTACCTCCCTGAAGGCAGTCAGTTGCCAGACTACAGGTAGGCCCTGATCCCTGCTGTTAAAGACAACTTCTCCCTAAAGGCTTGCGACCATTAGCTTGGTTCCTGTAAGTGGGGTTTACACCCAACTGATAATAGTTTCTATGGAAATTCAGAGAACAGATCAAACCGGCTCAGTGACATCCAAAGTTAGACTGCCATCCTGAATCTAGGATCCGTCCATCTTGTCACATGTATACCCCCAATCCCTCCTCTTCCTATTGCATGTATATCCCTAGATTGTCCCCCATTGCTGTATAACTTATAGTGCAACCCCTTCTTGTGACGTATGTCTTTACCTATAATTAGTGGGCTTGCATGTCCCCCAAAGACATATAGGCCTAGGTTAGCAAAAAGAGCTCTCGGGCTACCCACTTGGCCTCTGGTCGGGTTCCCTCTCTCCAGGCCTCCCTCCCCTGTTCCCTTTCCCCATCCTCCTTCCCCTCCCCCTCTCTCCGCACAGACCACCAAGCAGGGCTGAGGTGAGCATGCTACGTGAAATGTGTCTGACTCCATTATTTCAATATCTCTTCCATCTCTCATGCTCTCTATGACTTTATTATAATATGTATACCTCAACTGTACAACTGTGCCTATCGAACCCGTGATTAGTGGTGGGGGGCTGGGCACTTCCCCCACAGTTGGACATATGGGTTAATGTTGGACTTGAGGGTTTGGGCAGCACTGCATTGGGATGTTTTCTTGATGAACATTTAATCTTTATAAACTCTCTCTTATACATGAGTTTCTGAGGATTTGTTTCTCTAGAGTACCCAGACTAACACATTACGGTACCTTGGGAGCGGGGTACTGGAGAAGCAAATCATAAGATGGAGAGGGATGTTTGTTTGACCTCTCCCTTGTGGTAGTTTTTCTCCTTTGTCTAGCCAGAGGTCAGATAAAGCCACACTGTTTACTCGGTTGTTTCCTGGGGAAAATACTGGAAGTAGGAAAATAGAAAGTTTATAAGTCCACTTGCTTTCAGCCATTAAAATTTGGTCTTTAGATTGTTTTAGGCCATGCCTGCAAATAAAGCTTTGAAAATATATGCCCCACCCAGTGCTTTGGAGTTCTCAGGAACCAGTAGTCTTTGTCAGCAGCTGGAAAAATCTGGAACCATG